ACCTGGCCTTGTAATTGCGAGTAACAGAGGTAACTGTGCCTTATAGTAATACCTAGAGCCTTACATATTTGGATAAGAATGTTTGCAATAAATTCCTTGCTATTGTTGCTTTGAATAATAGTAAGAGCCCAAAATCTTGAAAACATCTTTACAAGGTAATTTGCAACAGTAGCAGACTTCTTGTTTTTTAAAAAAACAGCTACAAGGAAATTTGAAAATATACAGACACAGGTAAGTAACTATGCATAACCTTTATTTCATCCATAAAATCACAAAAATCAACAAAGTCGATCTGAACATGCTCCCACGGTGCTGTAAATACTACTGAAGTCATATCGGTTTTTTCTTTGGATAAGTATTGATAGCACAAAAGACATATTCATTGATGTATACTTGGACCTCCCCCTGCATAATTCCAATATGTTGTTCTGAAATCATGAAGAAAGTCTTGTAATAGTTATAGTGATCTGCTTGGTTGTAAAAATGGTATAATATTAGGGTGCGTAATTCCTCATTATACTTGTAAACAACATGGCATTTTTTTCAGACATAATGCCATTTTTTATAATAGCAGAAATGTATAAGATTTTGTTTTCATCTATTACAAATTTATTGCATTGACAAATAAAGTCTGGTTTGGCATTTTTTTTGTCTCTTAAAACATCTTCAGATACTGTTTTTGAGTAAAGATATCCCACAATTGCTTGATATTCGACCACTGTTTTAGGATTTTTGAGATTGCCAGTATAAGAACTTAAAAAAAAAAGTTTTTTCAAAAAAAGAATTCTTTTTTCAAAAAAAAAAAGATATTCGAAAAATAAAAACAAAAAAAAAAAAAACTGCAAAATGGCAAATATATACTTTTGTTTATACCTTTGTTTCAAAAAAAAACTAAAATATGGCTTAGCTTGGAAAATATTGCGAATGTATACCTTGTTCATAAAAAAAAAGCTTAAAAAAAATACTGCAGATAGATTCTGAAGTGCATAAGGAACTCTGTCTTGGGCAGTATATAGATAAGCAATATAATTTTAAAAAAACTTTTATATAAAAAAGTCGCCTGTGTGGGCAATGAATAAGTGTCTAAAAAACAATTGTTTGTTCTTGAGAATTTTTATGCACAACGTGCATAACAGCAGACTGTATTGGGAGTGTACATACGTACGTCGACATCAGTGTTATGTGGCGTATGATCTTTATTTTTAACCCAGGTTTGTTACATGAGCTTCAGCATCAGCCAACTTCAGCATTAGCTGTAACAATAAATATGCAATTTTAATTGCAGTAATATAGATTATAGAGTAGTAATATGTTAAATGTAACTTGTTTCAGTAAAATATAGCAGTTGTAAAATAGAATAAAACTACTTAGTATTAAAAAAAACTTTGCTTTTATTAATAATAAATTCACCTTCGTGTATTTTATATATTGAAAAGGATTTTAATTAATTTAATTAGTCAATAATCAAGTTTGGATCTACATCAATTAGCCAATTACACAAATTTTATAATTTGTGATTTTTTGTCAAAATATGAGGTCTTGCTATACTGCTATACTGGTAATCATAAGTAGTATAACAAAAAAAAATTTTTACTTAGATCGTATTATTTTTGCAATTCTGGGTATATTCTTTTATTTTTTATTTTATTTTATTTGTAAATAGTATAGTATTCATATAAAAAAATCCTAGAATATATTAATAAAGTAGATTTTTTATAAGCATGAGCTTTATTTAAAATTATGTATTGTACTTGTTTTAAACACAACATGAATATAAAACAAAAAAATTTTTTTTATATATAAAAAAATTTTTTTCTATTTTAATATTTTATTGTCGCCACAATATAGTATATCTACCTTATGTCTTGATTGTTTTACAAACTTGTTCTAGCATTGAGATAGATTAGATGATATAGATCTATACCTTAATTTCTATCTAGGCCACCTGGATCTTGCCTCAAAGATTTTTTTTTACCTGAAATTCATCTTAAATATTTCCAAGCTGATATTAAATCCTTAACCTACAAATATTTAAATAAATGAGTTCAGAAGATAAAAATATTAATTAAAATATTTGTCTAATTATTTTTAAGCTAATGTCTTATAAGTATTTTTTTATTATTATTATTTTTTTTTAAATATTTGGCATCTATGCCTTAACTTTATTAAGCTTTGTACTATACTCATGAGTAGTAAAATTTATAATAAGCCATTTTAAAAAGTAAGTAATAAACTTTTAACTTGTTAGCAGATAGCATATGAGAACTATTTCTAAACAACAAGCGCCGTAGCTCAAATTGTTATTTAAATTACAAGTTAAGACTAACTCGGTTATCCCAATTGGTATTTATGTTTGACCTGCTATAATAAGATTCTCCTCCATATAATTTATTCTGCAACTAGATTGAAATATATCTCAACAGATGGTTCTTACTACCTATCATAACTACTTTCTCTTTTTTCAAACTTCTTCTACCTAGGCCTAGACAAAATAGTTTAACTTTTATTTTTATATAAGGGTAGAAAATATATGCCAAGTTTATGAAAGACATAAACATTTAGAAAAAAAATATATATAACAAAAAAAAAATCATAAACAGAAAATCTAAAAGTATTTGATAATAAATGGATAAAGATGAAAAAAGCAAAAAAAGAAAGATAGCCATGATACACTATTATAGCCCATACTAGGTATATAAGTAAAAATTATATAATAACTGCAACTAATTACTATATCTCTATTGTAAATATTTATTTTATCCTTAGAACTCATTTTGGGCATTAATATGACTCAGGTATCTCCTAAATGGGAGTAGTGGTCACTGCCCTCACACTATAACACTATATTTGTAAATCAACAAAATGCATAGTTGCTCTCTACTGAGTTTATCCTGATTTAGTAGGTGTAAACAATATTAATCTTTTGGAGAGTAAGCCAAAAAGCTTACTTTTTTTGAAAATTATAGTAAGAAAAGCAAAAAGTAAGAGAGAGATAAAAAGACCAAAGAATAATACCAAAAGAGTGTAGATTTTCTTTTGCCAGAATAAGACCTTCTACCCAAGCCTGCATAGTACTAAGTCTTATTGGTAAGTGATAAACTCTGAGCTTGTCGACAAGTAGCATATAAGAACTACCTCTAAATGACAAGTGCTATACCTATGGTAAGTAATAAACTCTGAGACTGTCAGCAAATAGCATATAAAAACTATCTCTAAATGACAGCTGCTACTTTATAATCTTTTTCTTCATGTCTTATATTAAGGCTTCTTTCAAACCAAACTACAGCATACATTATTTTTTTCTAATAAAATCTTTATTAGAAATGGTGGTCCAGATGATTATCAAAAAGAGTTAATGTTTTATAAGTATTGTACTATATTTAATATCATTATTTTTTTATATATTTTTTTTAAATAGCAAATTCATAATCTATGACAGTATATATAAAATATTAATAAAAAATATATTAGTACAATTCAATATTCATCTCATAGTTAACTTTACAAAGGTTATTAATACTGCAAAATTTAATATAGCATTACTGTAGGTTTCCGAAAATAAGCTACCCTTTTTTGGCTAAAAAGTTACACAAAAATCATGGGTAGCTTATTTTTGGGTAAAACTTTGAAAAAGTTGATTTTTATTATTTTTTCAAAATCTGGAAATAGTTTATATATATAAAAGTCAAAATTCTATTAAGTAAATTGATGAAAGTCATTTAACAGTTGACTTGATTAAATTTTTTACTATGAAATTTGAGTGATCAACACTCATATGAAATTTTTAATTTTCATAGTAAATTGCAACAGTAAACCATTTTTAATCATCGTTTTCAGAGGTTATATAAAAGGAAAATACATTCTGTATAACATAAAATTATTCACAACTGCAAATACTTTAGTATCCTTATGTTTAAAGTAAGAAGAAAAATAAATTTAAAAAGAATCTTGTCTTTAAAGATGCACATTTGTTTTATAATCTATAATACTTTAATCTTAAACTTTTTATTACAAAGAATAAAGTTACTAATAAACTTTTATATTATTTAAAACCACTTAATCATACAAACTTACAAAACTATTTACAGCCTATTTTTTTTAGATTATGATTAGAAAGAAGGAAAAATATTAGTCAATTTACTTTGCAAGAATGTCATATTGACTTCTCTGGATCTTAGTTAGAATAATAAACTTGGACCAGAAAAATGAAAAGCACTAGCTGATGCACTTTGACGAACTTTAACAGCTCATAGATTCTTGATCACTGACTGATCTTCAGTGAATTCTGAGATTAAAAAGCTATTTATTCTCTGTTTGTGTTGCATTGATATTTTGCTTTAGATTCTCTATATTGGTTTTATACCTGACTATATTTTCTTTTATAAATTTTACATCAAATGTTTTTAAAGCCTCATTATAAGCAAAGTAATACACATCTTAAGTCATATTTATTGAAGATGATTTTGAAAAAATTGAATAAGTATTTTTTTTCTTGTATACTAGTAATTGTGTTAAATGAACTACTATTTATATTTTTCACACTTATTATAATGTATTAGCAATTTGGAATAATCCCAGAAGCATGTCACTAGATGTTAATCGGACTACTATATCATTATTTTTACATGTGTTTCATATTTATATTCGTATTGTTCTTTACTAACTTTTGGGCTTTGCTTATTTTTTTTTTTATTTACATCATTTTTATTGTTTTACTCTTTTTATCATCTTTGCTTTTTACTTCTACGTTTAACTTTTTTTCAAACTCTTACTTTTACTTTGCTCTTATTGTGCCTTTTTTTAGCTTCATTTTACTATTCCTATTTACTTTGGCTTTTAAAGTTCTTTAGATAAAACATGAAAAATACAAAAAAGAAAATAAGACTAGGAATCTCTTGTAGGAAAATTCCTAGCCTAAATATTATATTATAAATATAGTTAATCATATATAAAAAATAATAATGAAGGTAGTAATGAGTGACAGGGGATTATAGTGAATATTAATCTAAAATCATTCTCAATTTTGTAGTTCTATTTTCTAATTTGAAATCGAAACCAAAATTCAAGATCTTCATGAAATTGAGATCTTTACTGAAACCTAAAAATCTTATTGAATTCGATGGTACTGGAGTTAGAACTGCTAAAGCTATTTGAACTTTTAGCTCTTTAGGCTTAAATTTTAAAAATAGATTAGTTTTAAACGATAGTTCAAAATATTTGTTAAAATTAAATAGACCATTATTTATATTATTTATAATTGTAATTATATTGTAAATTTAGAACAATTTATACATTTAATAAAATATTATACTATTATAATTTTAATTGTTTAATAAAGTTTTTTATTTATACAGTGCGGGACAGCAAGAGACATCCAATCTATATATATAGGCGCCAATTTTGGTGCTTATATAATCAATTCTGATTGGCTAATTTTTGAGCAATTGATTTTGATTGGTTAAAAACCAATATATGTTTCTTTTTTTTATATTAAACGCCAATTTTTTGAACTCTTATAAACTTTAATCTCTTATAACTTTTTTAAAACAAAGAATAAAAAAAAATCCTCTGACAGAATTGTAGTTTATCTAAAAATCTATCAATTTGTCAGAGGGTTTTTTGATTTAACTTGTTTTAAAAAAGTTATACTACTTTAAAGTTTTATTAATAGACATTGGATATCTCTTGCTGTCCCGCACTGTATATTTAATTTTTTTTAAAAAAAAAACTCTTAATAAGTATCATTATAGTTAAATTTAAATCACAAAATACTAAACTATAATTCAGAGAAATCGACGTGTGTTCTTGCAAAGTGCATTGGCTATTACTACAGTCAGATAAGTACACATCTTATAAAAAGCCTCACTAAATACATGTTTTCTTTTGGGCCCAACTAATATTATACTTATAGATTTTTATCTCTCTAAATGCAACACCTTTCTAAGTGCACGTTTGGCCAAATTTTTACATATAGTCTCATCGCATTGCTTTAAAGAGGTCTGACTAACTTCAACACAAATCTACAAGTATTGATAGGGATCTATTAAGAATTTAATTGATAAACGCCTATTAGAAAGAATCCTTATAGTTTTCTTAAACTCTTTTACAATTTTATAACATACCCTTTAAAGATTCGATCAACTGAAGCTAGGTATAAAGAAACAATTTTAGCAGTTCTAACTCCGGTACTGTAGGCTTTTTTTAAATTTGAAAATCTTGAATTTCAGTAGTTTGGATTTCAAATTGAAAAAAATAGAACTACAGAATTAAGAAAGGCTTTAAGTTAAAATTCACTATAATGGAATAATTATTCCGTCTGGCTAATCTACAGTATTACAATAAGTGTAAAAAAATATAAATAATGGTATTGCCTAGTGATTTTGTCAATATGCTAGTGCAGAAGCTAGCACAATATGAATATTAGACATCAGCTTATTCAAAATTGGTGGTATAATAGATATAAGAAAGTGAAACAGAAATCATAAGTTATATAATACTCTGTATATTAAAAAAAAATTAATAAATGGCCCAAAACTGTAAATGACTGCAATACTCCACTTGAAAATACTATTTACAACCATTCCAAATACAACACTTTTAAACAACAACTTAGACACAAAAACATTCTATATTTAAAACAACTCTGCTCTGCAGATAACAAAACTCTGTTAGACTGGCTACACTTATCACCTAGAATTTTACATATTCCTAAA